ACACAATAGAATAACGTACATTTCGTCGCAACTACTTTGATCCTAATGCACTAGAAAATACTGGAATAACAATAAAGTAAACCTCGATAATTAAGTTATAATAGAAAAACAAGTGTTAGGTGGGTCAATTTGACCCATCCGTAGTATTTGCGGTTTCAAATAAATTGGTTTACTTATGAATTTTATATTTCTATAAATATAAATAATAAATCGATAAATTGAAACCATTGACAAATTAACAGACAATGTTTTTTATTTGAATTGGTGGACGCGCCGGGGGTTAATTTGATAACAATTGATAAGTGTCTTTTTTTATTGTGAATGTTGCTGTTTTCTTGTCGCTCTTTGTTAGGACAAAAACAAGACCTCTTTCTTTTGGATTGTGGGTTGTGTTTCAGTAGGCATTTGAATTTGCATTTCAGACGGGTCAATTTGACCTGAAAAACACAATAGAATAACGTACATTTCGTCGCAACTACTTTGATCCTAATGCACTACAAAATACTGGAATAACAATAAGGTAAACCCCAACAATTAAGTTACAATAGAGTGCGAATAAAACAAGTGTTAAGTGGGTCAATCTGACCCATCCGTAGTATTTGCTGTTTCAAATAAATTGATTTACTTATGAATTTTATATTTCTATAAATATAAATAATAAATCGATAAATAAAAACCATTGACAAATTGACAGACAATTTTTTTTATTTGAATTGGTGGACGCGCCGGGGTTTAATTTGAAACAATTGATAACAATATAACAATATAACAATATAACAATATAACAATATAACAATATAACAAAAAAATACATCGGGTAATTTTAACAATATAACAATATAACAATATAACAATATAACAATATAACAATATAACAATATAACAATATAACAATATAACAATATAACAATATAACAATATAACAATAAACAATATAACAATATAACAATATAACAATATAACAATATAATAATATAACAATATAACAATATAACAATATAACAATATAACAATATAACAATATAACAATATAACAATATAACAATATATTGATAAAAAAGGTTATAATGTAATTTGATCGATATAACAATATAACAATATAACATATAACAATATAACATATAACATATAACATATAACATATAACATATAACAATATAACATATAACAATATAACAATATAACAATATAACAATAATCAAAGAAGAGAAAATATCAACAAAATTATTAACAATTATTTTCATATTGTGTAGTTATTTGAAAATCTTTCTACTTCCAATAATTATGGAATTTTTCCGCTTTCCAATCGAATACGAAAACCCATTTGCGATTCGTCCAATTGTGCAATGCTCGGAAAATCGAACGGGATTTTACGTGTTTCATTTTTTTTTCCTGTTATTTACCTGCGAATGGAAATAATTCGCGTTGCTCTTTCGCCTTGTCAATTTTAAATTACAATCAATCATGTACGTGCACATTCATTCATTTTTTTCCCCCAATATTTCGGACAAATGATTCATACTTACTTTTAGTTAATTTTTAGTTTTTTCAAACATGTAAAATTTCATATTTTTTTTGTATTTTTTATATTTTATTTACATATTTTCATACTTTCCAAAAAAAATGTATGTTTATTGAAAAATTTACTGCATTTGTCTTAATTGATTAATAAAAATATAGAAAAATTGATTCAAAATTGTATCATTCCTTGATACTCGAATACTTTTCTTTTATTAATTTTATTTATACAATTTTTCTATATTTTTTTAAAGACATTGTTAAAAATCTATTTTGACTTTCTTTCCTTAATAATCGAATTCATTTTCTATTGATTGATTAATGAAAACGTTTAAAAATCTAATAAAATTTAGATCATTTCTTTTTATTGAAGAATCTTTAGTGTCTTTAAAATCGTATCATAATTATTTTTATAGTTTTGAGACAATTTTTTATATTTTTTTTTTCAAAAATCATTCACCATTTCATTGATTTATGAAAACGTTAAAGAATTGTATTAAAAATACCGTTAATCAACTAAATGTATAACAAAAATGTATTTCACAAATTGTATTAACTTATTTATAAACAAGCAGCAATTACTCTAACTTAGTATATATATTTATATGTATATATAATAATGTTTCTGTGTGAAATTTCGTAGACGGAATACCTAATATTTCACGAAGCATAAAGCTGTCATCAATTCGGTATTAGTATACATGAGGTATGCCTCCTCGCGAAGTCCATAAATTTTCTTAGCTGCTGCGGCGTCGGCGAATGCAGTAGCAACAACATCAGTCGAGAATCGCGCTGAGAAGAGGGCGTCTCTCGCAATTACACAGGTACCGGTAATTACTTTTGCCGACGGCGGCCAAATTTAAACCGAGCAATTTGCGTGTGGCGCCTATAAATATTTACCACAGTTTCACACAAACACACATAAACACTCGCACACGAGTGGCAGTTTGTAGCACATTACAGAACGACCGACGAGGGGAATCGTTGCGTGTCACGCGAATTCCCCAATCACGCAACACATTTGCATGGAGAGGCGGTATGCAAACCGTCGTTCATGCACGCGTTGTCAAAGAAACGAGAAACAAAAAGAAACAGGCAACTGTTTCGAAACGAAACACGCATAATCAAGTATCCACGTACTTATTTCAGGTATAATTATAATTGAAATTATACCAATTTTTATTTAAAATTTCATCAAAATATTGAAGTATTTTTTAATTATATTTAGAAAATATTAATATATCTGCAAATTTGTTTCTTATTTTAATCAAGAGATTTTTTTTTACATATTTATCCTTATTACTATTAAAGCAAGTTATCATAAAAGAAGCGTTACCTTCATGAAACAGTTAATTAAACGTGAGTTCCTCAAGATGTTGCTAACTTTATAATTAAGTCTTTCATTACAGAGTGTAATCAAGTTGTAGTTGTAAATATATAGTTATATAAAAAAGAGGGGTTATTACCATTGCTCGATGGATATTTAACATTTAACAGAGTTTACATCTCTTTCTCTCCAGGTGCACTTCACTCCTTCTCCCATCTTCTGCTTCATTTCCTCCGCTTTTATAGATACAAATCGCTGCAGAAATAATAATAATAATTCGCGCAGCGTAACGCAACGCCGCCTCTTTTGATAAGGAAATTTCGGGCGGGATATTTAAAAAAAAACCTTCTTCGAATATCATTCGCGAGAAATTGCGCGGAACGTAAAGATTGCCGAAACCAGCAACCCTTATCGCTTCAGTCAAGGGCGAGAAATCGAAAAGTTACAAATATTATTATTGCTTATCGGCTCAGAAAATGATAACAGATGTTCGCAAAAAGCATTCTTACATACCTTAATGTCTTTATAATTCGTGTGCTTGGCACATTTCCAACTAAGATTTTCTTCATGTGGTTTTTATTTGATGACAAAGTTATTGCTAGAGCATCCAAATTTTTAATAAAAACCGGGAAATTATCTATAATTTAGTTAATTGAAAATGTGGTGCGCATTAACTATTAAGTTTGAAAACAAAATTGATACATTAACAAAATAGACTTAATAAAAAACACAATTAATTAAAAGATAGAAAATTAATAATAACATTAGTTTCAATTAAAAAAAAAATAAAGAAATTACTGGTATTTCTTCTCAAAATTTACTGGTAAGTTTGTTAATCATATTGGCAGGTAAAACCGGTTAAACGATAATGGAAACCACCCTATATATTACTGAAATACAAGCAGAAGTGGTTTATTTAGTTTAGACCGAGTTCTGCGTTGCTAAATGGCAGTTCGTTCCGCGACGCAGATGCAATCTGGATGCATTAAAAAGTCCTTAACTGAACATTTATCAAAGCTGTAAACCACTCACGAATAGAAATCCTTATTTAATTCAATCTGCAAAACCGGAGCCCAACCAGCATCATCCAACAACTTCACGCGCTAATAAAAAAAACAATTTAACACGTCTTCAAAAGAACCGAAAACAAGAATGCGAAAAAAAAATATTTACCGTAGTTTTGATTAATCCGCGATTTCGCATCAAATTATTTACATGTTTCGTTCGTTTTTTGCTTTATTTCCAGGATTATTTGTTCAAAAAAAAAATTCAGCGGTTTTGCAGCGCGCGTTCAATAATGCATGCAATTTTTGTTTTACTTTGTTTCCATTTTCTGCTTTGGCATAATAAAATAATAATGTTATTATTATCCGCCAGCATTGTTTTCTGAATTCTTTACTATTACGTTTATTATTTTTTTTTTCTTCTTCTGTTGTACAGTTGCGAATATGAAATTCGGATCTATTGAAATTCCGCTCGTAATATTTTATTTTTTTGGATATTTATGCGCGGAGGTCGGATCTGTAGGCTTTCATGAAAGTATGCAACGTGAAAGTTTAATATCCGTTACCAACTTTTTACCAACGCATACATTATATATTAATAAACTGAAAGTTATTCTCGGATGCACATCGTGTACATCTGCGAGGATATAGAGGAAATATTGAAACGTATTCCAGACTAAAGGAGAAACGATGTTTGAACTTTTCCCCACGAGTTTGGCCAATTTTAAATTCCACCGAAATTTCCATTGATGATATACTCAACTTTGCGTCATTTTATAAACATTTCATATTTTTCTTTATGTTATCAATTTGTGCTTTAAATTTGTAATGTTCAAAATATTAATATTTAAACTATCTTTTTTTTGTTATGTTTTACATGAAAATAAGAATCAAATTGCAGTTTGATATTATTCGCACGGAATCAAACGTTCGAAGACGGAGATTTCGGCGTATTGTGAGCGTGGAAAGTAGGAAAAAAAGAGTAATGATGTTGTAGACGTGGTGCAGCTGAAAATTTGAGTTTGCAGTCAGTTGCAGGGAAGTAGTTTTTTTTGTGTGTATGCTGGAACCGCCGCGCCGTTTCTGCTGCACGTCGGGACTTCATAATATCTCGTTTTAAAATGTAATGAGACATGAATATTTGATTTCAGCTGATACCAGCGGAGTCCCCTGCGTGGTGTACAACAAAACTTACCGTCACGGTGAGACCTTCTCCCCAGACTGCCGTACACAATGTGCATGTCAGGTCAGTGGAATTGGAATTTTGCACCAGAACAAACGATATTCATCCATTCATCCCGTACGTCCGTCCGTCACTGTATTGTCTACTACATTCCCAGACATGTCATATAAACATGTCTATTGTTATACATTTGTATATATGGTTAGGATAGGTTAGGTTAGATTAAATAATAATGGTTTTATTAGAACTGAAGTCAGGTTACGATAGGTTAGAAAAGATAATAATTATCTCACGGTAGTCCTTAAGTTACATTAGATAGGTTAGAATAGGTTAGAATTATTCCAATGTTAGAAAAAGTTAGGTTAAGTTATATAAAAACTAGTTCTAAAAAGTTTAATTAAGTATATAATTCACTATAGTCTATTTATATACACTAATTTACATACGTATTAGAAAATAGTCCTAATTCTAGGTTAGGTTAACTTGGTTAGGTTTAATAAAAGTTACTTTAGTATTATTATAGGTTAGGTTAGATTCATTAAGTTTAAACAAAGTACGTTCAATTTGATTCGATTAACCTTTTCTAACTTATATTAGGTTAGACTGTAACAGGCTGAACTATTAACACTCGTGATTTATACATAAGCTCCAAATACTAAAAAATGTCAAAAATAGTCCTAATTCTACGTTAGGTTAGCTTGGTTAAGGTCAATAAATGTTAGTTGATTTTTATTATATGTTATAAGTTAGTTTAGAATTATTATAGGTTAGGTTATATTCATTAAATTTAAACAAAGTACGTTCAATTCGATTCGATTAACCTAATCTAAATTATATTAGGTTGGACTATTAACACTTGTGATCTCTACATAAGTATTCCAATGTTAGAAAAAGTTAGATTAAGATATAAAAAAACTAGCTCTAAAAAGTTTAATTAAGTGTATAGTTCACTATAGTCTATTTATATACACTAATTTACATACATATTAGAAAATAGTCCTAATGCTAGGTTAGGTTCGCTTGGTTAGGTTTAATAAAATTTAGTTTAGAATTATTATAGGTTAGGTTATATTCATTAAATTTAAACAAAGTACGGTCAATTCGATTCGATTAACCTAATATAACTTATATTAGGTTAGTCTGTAACAGGTTGGACTATTAACACTTGTGATCTCTACATAAGTATTCCAATGTTAGAAAGAGTTAGGTTAAATTTAAAAAAAAGTAGCTCTAAAAAGTATAATTAAGTATATAGTTTACTATAGTCTATTTATATACATATTAGAAAATAGTCCTAATGCTAGGTTAGGTTAGCTTGGTTAAGATCAATAAACGTTAGTTTATTTTTATTATATGTTAGGTTAGATTCATTAAGTTTAAACAAAGTACGTTCAATTCAATTCGATTAACCTAATCTAACTTATATTAGGTTAGACTGTAACAGGTTGAACTATTAACACTCGTGATCTATACATAAGTATTTCAATGTTAGAAAAAGTTAGGTTAAGTTATAAAAAACCTAGCTCTAAAAAGTTTAATTAAGTATATAGTTCATTATAGTCAATTTATATACACTAATTTACATACATATTGGAAAATAGTCTTAATGCTAGGTTAGGTTAGCTTGGTTAGGTTCAATAAAAGTTAGTTTATTTTTATTATAGGTTAGGTTAGATTCATTCAATTTAATCAAAGTACGGTCAATTCGATTCGATTAACCTAATCTAACTTATATCAGGTTGGACTATTAACACTTGTGATCTCTACATAAGTATTCCAATGTTAGAAAAAGTTAGGTTAAGTTATAAAAAAACTAGCTCTAAAAAGTTTAATTAAGTATATAGTTCAATATAGTCAATTTATATACACTAATTTACATACATATTGGAAAATAGTCTAGGTTAGGTTAGCTTGGTTAGGTTCAATAAAAGTTAGTTTAGAATTATTATAGGTTATGTTATATTCATTAAATTTAAACAAAGTACGTTCAATTCGATTCGATTAACCTAATCTAACTTATATTAGATTAGACTGTATCAGGTTGGACTATTAACACTTGTGATCTCTACATAAGTATTCCAATGTTAGAAAAGGTTAGGTTAAGTTATAAAAAAAAACTAGCTCTAAAAAGTTTAATTAAGTATATAGTTCACTATAGTCTATTTATATACTAATTTACTTACATATTAGAAAATAGTCCTAATGCTAGGTTAGGTTAGCTTGGTTAGGTTCAATAAAAGTTAGTTTAGGATTATTATAGGTTAGATTAGATTCATTAAGTTTAAACAAAGTACGTTCAATTTGATTCGATTAACCTAATCTAACTTATATTAGATTAGACTGTAACAGGTTGAACTATTAACACTCGTGATCTCTACATAAGTATTCCAATGTTAGAAAAAGTTAGGTTAAGTTATAAAAAAAACTAGCTCTAAAAAGTTTAATTAGGTGTATAGTTCACTATAGTCTATTTATATACACTAATTTACATACCTATTAGAAAATAGTCCTAATTCTAGGTTAAGTTAGCTTGGTTAGGTTCAATAAAAGTTAGTTTAGAATTATTATAGGTTAGGTTAGACTCATTAAATTTAAACAAAGTACGTTCAATTCGAATATAACTTATTATTAAGTTAGCCTGTAACATGTTGCACTATTTTTTATAGATTAACTTGGATTAGTATAAGTTAGGTTAATTCAATTTAACAAAAGTACCTTAAACTCAATTAACCTGATTGTTACAAGATAAACTATTTAGTATAGGTTTAGTATGAATTAGGTTAGGTTAATATAATTTGAATAAAACGATTTAAATTCGGACTAATTTATTCTAATCAAAGAATATATTGGCATCATTTTAAAAATAGTCAGTGTAAATCCATAGAAATTCATAAAATCCATAATATTATTTAACGAATCATCAGTAGTTTTCATATAAAGAAGTGTTATTCTTCAATTAGTAACAGGTTAACTTTTCAATCGTCAGTAGATAACTAAAACAATAATTACATATAAAGAAAAGTAAAAGTTTTATAGTTATTATTTTTAGATAAATCATTTCTAGAATCCATTTCAGCGCACATAATGCAACACGTTTTATGAAATCCATGAAAACTTTCCCATGATTCTTGCACGCGATGTGCTTTTCGAAACAATATTTACTTTTCGTGCTAATTAAGTTCAGCAAACTTAGACCCTGAAACAATTTCCACCCTCAAATTACGTTCACTTCAACTTTCTCTCTCCCATTCTCTTTATCACACTCTCCGCCTCTATCTATCTTTTCACCTCCACCAGTTTATTTATCGAAGCCGCAATTTCATTCTGCTTACTCTTTCAATTTTTTCCTCACATTTTTTTTTGTTCACTCTCCCTCTGCTTGTTATTTCCGCTCATTTTCTCCTCGTATCTTTTTTTTTTTGCTACTTCTTCTATTATTATTATTTCATGTTTTTCGTGTGGTTCTCATCCGCAGAACGGCACGTACGGATGTTCCTCGCTGTGTCCTCAGGAGCACATCTCGCCCGAGGGATCCTGCCGGCATCCGAGGCTCGTCGAGCTGCCAGGACAATGCTGCAGGGAGTGGATGTGCGACAGCCAAGCCGGTACGAAAAAAAAAACAACCCTATCCATCCATCCTCGCATCCCTCCAACGACCACTTTGCAATTGTCGCTATAACGCATCCCAAGGTTTTAATTTCATCTTCTCTTCAACTGCTTCCCATTAATCCGACGCAAGTTTACAAATTGCCTGAACCCAGCGCAATCCCTTACGGAACATCATTATTTTCAATGATAAAAATGAAACACGTCGTTGGGTTTAGTTGCAGGATCGCGAATTCTGGATCCTCGGAGGGATATTAAAATTTGCATGATTGCAGCAGGATGCAGTTGATTAATCATTTTTCGTGCACGTGCACGTTATTATCCTGCGGCGACAATGAAATTAATGTTTCGGGTACGTAATTCGAAATCGCGCGCGCGAACGAACGAAATCTCATTAACGGAAAACTGAAAAGCGTGATTGGACGCGAAATCGCGTTCCGCGTATTTCCGATGCGGCGCGGAAATGGAAAACCATTTGCATCCGGAAAATGCGGAAACTTTGTTTAACGCTCGCTCATTTCCATCAAACAGCTGCGTCTGCACAACATACAACGTGATTCCGGATTTGATTGAATCCTGACTAGGTAGGTTTATTACGTGAATATTTCGTATAAGCCTAGAAGCTTCAAATCATTACTTGTCAATGACGATTTATGTAACAGTAATGAATTATCAATAGTTTTTACATGACAAATTTTCAAGACACATCTCAACATAAATTACAAGAAAAAAAATCAAACAATTTATATGGTCTAATTGACTAATTACTATAAATATATTCATAAAACATTTGTATGTATTTATGCACAAACAAAGTATTTTGTATAAAGCGTAGGGCGGATATATTCGCAAAGGGTTAAAACAATAATTCAAATAGTAAGCTTCAAAACATTATAATTCAATGATTCAAATGAAATTTTGCTTAAAAAAAAACTTTTTTAATCATTACCCCAAAATATTATTGCGTAAGTCGATATTACCCCCCCCCATTCTGAATTCATTAAACAATCAATGTAAATTTTAAATAAACATTATTTATTGAATTAATTTGCATTTACATATTTATAAAAAAAAAGTTACATGAAAATAGTAACAAATAGTAATAGACAAACAAAATAAAATTCTTAAATTGGAATAAACAAAAATTACTTGAAACTTTCACCCTTCAGGTTTTGGAAAAATGAAGTTGCTTCATGTGTGATATAATTACTTTAAAATTGGGACTTTTTGATGTAAGAGTAATTTGAATACAGTCTTCAGCGTTTAATCGATTTCTGTTTTTCGTTTTTATGTTCATTAGAGTGGAAAAGCCTTGTTCACAAAAGTAGGTTGTTGCAAATGGCAGCAATTTTTTTTACCATCTTCTCATCTGCAATTTTGAAAGCCTTTGCAGCCTTTGACAACCAAAAAGACGACAGATTTGCTTTGGTTTCAAATTGAATACAGTATTGGATGAAAGTTCAAGAATTGCCTCTGCCAAACCTGGAGGTTCTTCTGGTATGTTAGTAATTTTACATTTAAAAGGATCTACAACCCAATTCACAGTTTGTACATCAAGATCTGAAAAGTAGTCAGAGAACCGCTCTCTGAGTTTGGTAAGATGAAATTAGAAAAATTTCCCTATTACCCAAAAAAAAATCATTTTTACCCCATTTTGGGTAATTTACCCCGGTTCCCCGACCGCTGGTTTAGGCGGATATATCCGTCACTCATCCGTATTAATAACGGGGTCAATAAATTATATTTTCGGGTCTGCATTAATTGCAAACAATTAAAAAGTTTTTTTAATTAAATCTGTACTCTATTCTAATTCTATTGTTTGTTTTGTTTTTTTTTGTTTTTAGTTGAAGAGCCTCCTTCGTGCGAGCCTACGTTCACGAAATGGTCGGAATGCAGCAGCAATTGCGGTTCCGGTATTTCCACCAGAAGATCCAATCTGAACGGAAGATGCGAATCTGCAGTGGAGGCTCGCATCTGCCAGACCAGGCGTTGTGATGCTAATGAGGTCTTCACGCATCGCAGTCACCATCACCACTTGAGAGTAAGAATAAGGGGGGCGGAGGGTTACAGCGCTTTTCTAGTCCATCTGAGAACAAAGAACAGATAAAAAAAAATATTAGATAAGTAAAACGAGAACGCGAAAATCAATAGGAACGAAAATTCAATTTGCCAATTCCTATTTCATTTTACAAGTATAATAGGTTTCAATTACTATGCATATGGGTTTCCACATCTGCTACTAGTTCTCACTAGTTGCAAATGTTGTATAATCATCTTATTGAACAATTCCAGTTTAGAAAATGTAACTTTTCCTATTAACATTTTCAATTGAAATTTAATCATATGCAAAAGTTTATTCTCAAATTTAATTTAAAATTTTGAGAAAAATCAATTAATATTTATTCTAAAATTAATTTTCCCCTTTTTTATATTAATTTATGAAATTTTTAATGAAAATGTTAAATGATAAACGTTAATGATAAATCATATTGTCAATTTGTGATAAAGTTAATTTACTTCTTAATTTAGATTTACATGAATTTTTTAGAAGAAAATTCTGATGATTAAAGGAGATTAATTTCCTTTTGTAAGCAACAAAAAATGATATAAATTACTAAGAGTGTGCATGTATGAAATAGGTTCTGAATTATATAATGGATGTATGCTTTCGAGTGTATAATGTTGACGTGAGTGTAGGTAGTAAAATATAATATAAAAGTTGGGAAGGACGATAAGAAGAATGGAATTGCTCGCGTTGAGAATAATGAAAACGAGTTGAAAAATGTTGGGCATTCATAAAGCAGCAAATTGACAAAGAGAGAGAGAGAGTATTAAAGGACACTCGTAAAGCGCGCTAACTTCAAATAAAATTATTAGATTAAATGCACTTCATTCTCATTAAATAGTCTTTTTTTTTTAATAGTAATTACTTACATTTTTTAAATAGTGAATTAGATTTGTTATATAAAGATTGACGATGTGAAAACGCAACTGTGTAGGGATTGGGATTAAAATGGATCTTGTGAATTGAAAAATTAATGAAAGTTATCTTGTGGAACGAAGAGTAATTTGCAATTCCAATCGTAAGACCCGTTGTCGTCGGGTTAAGACCCTTCTCAGTTGTTTTCGTCTTTTTGATTGACGAAAGAAAGGGGGGCTTCTCCGAACAAGTGTCGGGATTTGCGTTTGGGACTTGCATCTCATTAGTACAAAGTTGACACACCCGAAAAGAAAAAGAAGGAAAACACATTTCGCAGTCGTATTTCAATGTTTCATGTGTTTACGCTTTTGCCAGCGAGATAATCCGGAGATTAGGACGGAAGTTTTAGCGGCCGTAGATCATAATACCCGACGGCGCGACAATTAAACGATGCGCGCGGAACGCATTATCCCCTGAAGAGGATATCCGGATCAGAACTTTCCTAATTATTAATTTGGATCGTCTGCATTCGGGTTGGGGTGGACGTCTTCGGGGGGTGATCAGAAGTCCTTTTCGGAAAGTCTCCGCGTTAATTCGAAATATGTAAAGGCATTGGTCGTTAACGAAGCCTATCAAAACTTTGAAGTGTTGTCATGGAGATTTACGTCAATTACATAACCTCGAGCAACCGAATCAACTTGTATATATCGTGTAGTTATGCAATTATCGCGGAGATTATTTGTAAAAGTGTTAGCACAAGTCTTATTAATTATTAAGAACATCTGATTTGAGCTAATTGGAAATGATGAGGTATTCATTAATAATTGATAAAGTGTTAATAATAATAAGCCTTCTTTATAGTTAGAAAGAAAATCAATATTTGAGATAATTCTAAATGTGTAATAGATTCATTAATGAAGTCTAATAAAACTTTGAAGTGTTGTCATGGAGATTTACGTCAATTACATAACCTCGAGCAATCGAATCAACTTGTATATATCGTGTAGTTAAGCAATTATCGCGGAGATTATTTGTAAAAGTGTTAGCACAAGTCTTATTAATGATTAAGAACATCTGATTTGAGCTAATTGGAAATGATGAGGTATTAATTAATAATTGATAAAGTGTTAATAATAATAAGCCTTCTTTATAGTTAGAAATAAAATCAATGAAGTTTCAATCTTAGAGATAATTATAAATGTGTAATAGATTCATTAATGAAGTCTAATAAAACTTTGATATTACTAATTTCTTGATGATTGATCTCCTACAGACTGATACATCAATACGCAATAAATTTGCAATGATTTAATTAAAGGTACGTACACACCACGCGATCAAAGATATTTCTTCTTACATTTTGTACACGTACGATTCTTAATCAATTTGTTTTTATTGGAATTCCTTTCGTTAATCATCATTGTATCAGCATTTAGAAAATTACTCACGTAACTCGATAAATAAAACTTATCTACGAATAGTAAACATCACGAGTGCGCGTGCACCACACATTGTTTCTATAACTCTTCAAGTTTTTCTTTTGTTTTGGGTTTCATCACTATTCTATGAATTAAAGTTTCTTCATTTTTTTTTATCAATTATATTCTAGTAGAAGGCGTCGACGTTCGCATCTATTAATCCAATTGTTTTGCAATTACGTGGGCAAGGCAAGGCTAATTTATTGATAATACCTAAAAGGGCCATAAATCAATAACTTTGTTTGCTCCACACATACACAAAAACACATACAAAAACTCTGCCTGTCAAAGCGCGCAGCGATAAGCCGCGAACGGATTAACGCCGTCGCGTCGCGCTGAATACGCGATAAACGAGAAGCGTCCACACCTACACATTCTTCATTTGTTCATTTGAAAAAAAAAATGCAATTAGAGTTTATATTAACGTACATAATTAATTGGATATTACCATGGCAACAGTTCCTCAAGGGAGTGTACTTTGTCTCATATATAAATAAGTCTCTCATGACAACACTTCAAAGTTTTGATAGACTTCATTAATGAATCTATTACACATTTAGAATTATCTCGAAGATTGATTTTCTTTCTAACTATAAAGAAGGCTTATTATTAACACTTTATCAATTATTAATTAATACCTTATCATTTCCAATTAGCTCAAATCAGATGTTCTTAATCATTAATAAGACTTGTGCTAACACTTTTACAAATAATCTCCGCGATAATTGCATAACTACACGATATATACAAGTTGATTCGGTTGCTCGAGGTTATGTAATTGACGTAAATCTCCATGACAACACT